CAGCAGCTGAGGCCGGCAGGGGTTGGGAGTGGTGAGGGCAGTGCGTGAGTCACATGCCTCACACAGCAAAACCAGTACAGAAACCCTGGTCACCCCTGGCACAAAGCCACAGCCCACCCGGGGGTTCCCAGCATCCATGCAGGCAGCCTCCCATCCTGCTCCTCATCCTCTGTCATGCCAGGCAGCAGCAGAATTAAAGCAGCAGAATTAAACTCTAGTGCTGCTTGGAGTTGTTGCCTTTGTTTCTGGCCTGGGCAAGAGAGGACTTGTGCTAATGGCTTGCTTTTTGTACCTGCCTGCTATGAACTGCTGTGGGGCACAGCCCCCACCCTGGCTGCAGTTGCCTGGCACCCAGTTTCTGCAGGAGAGGGCCTGATCCCAGCTTGAGTGGGAAAAGTTACCCAAGGGAAAACCTGCCCTGCCTTTAGCTGGGTGTGCTGTTTGCAGCAGTGCCTGTTCCCGTGCCGGAGGAGTGCTGAAGATGCTGAGTCTGGTGTTACATGGTGGGGCTTGACCAGAGGCTCCCAGAAAACCTCCCAACCTAAGTTGTTTCAAGTGTGAAGCCTAGAAGTACGGGTTTTGTTCCTAAGTTGGCATCTTGTGTGCAACTGCAGGCAGGGCAGAGGGCAGGGCTACTTTGTCCTTCTAGACGATGACTAAAAGCCTTAACAGTTAGTGGGTGGGTTGACATGGGGGCCCTTGCTTGGTGGTGTTACTGCACTAGGAACATGGTGCTATTTTTCTGCAATAGAGCTCATCCCATCCTTCACCAGGCCCTTGGTGAAGGATGGGATGCGTCTCTCTGGAGGCCTTCAGATGAGAAGTAATGCTGTGTCTGGGGCTCTCTCAAGGACTGTGTTCTGGATGGCTCTAACCACTGAGAGTATCCTCTCATTTCTGGTTGGGAGCCAGAAGCCACAGTCAAGGACTGGGAGCCATGGTCAAGCAAGCTGAGGAGCTCTGGGGAGCACCAGGGGTGAGGTGTCTTCACAGGGCAGGCACCAGCTGCAGTTGCAAGAGGCTGGCATGTCTTGGCAAGGGTGTGCTAGAGCAGCACTGGCTGGAATACAAAGTCCTTCAGCAGTTTGGTCAGGAGCAGCAAGCCAAAGTATAAGCATCTCCCTTTCAGAGAGGTTTCTGCACCCCTCAAGGTGAGGTTTTCCAGCTTGCTCAGGAAAGCTCTGGGTCTGATCAAGTCACATGTGTTACTGTAGCTTGTTTGAGTGTCTTCTAGTTGCAAAATACTGTTGCTTCCTTGGGCCACTCTTTGTGGCTGTTGCACTAAGGAGTGCTGAAGATGAGCTGTTTCATCATCAGTCAGTCTGTGTTTAGCAGCACACCATCAGGCACCAGACAGGCTTTTCTTCCCAGTGGAAGAGTCTAGTTGAAACTTCACAGTTTTGATCTGTTGTACACTTCAAGTGGTTCCAGATATTGACAGTCTCTTTTCTGGGGTTGCTGGTTATAATCCTATTTTATGTATGGCTAAAGCTGACATAGATGTGCTAGGAGTCACTGGGGTTCTGCAAATGGACCTAAAAGTTCTTCAGGAGTCAGGGTACACCTCTGTCTTGGTGCAGGTGGTAGGATGGTGCTACAACAGGACAGCACTTCAGAAATCCAGTAGGCAGGCAGGAGCTGGAACTGGAGACTGCAAGCATCTTAGGAGGGCTGGGCTGATAGGTGGTGGTCCAAGTCTGGCAGGTTGCAGACCGATCTCATTCCTTTTGTGGATTGCACCCAGCAGAAGCGAGGCAGCCAGCACCCTTTGTCAAACAGTGCTGGTCAGTAATGTGGCCATCTCAGAAGCTGGAAGCACCATTGGTTAGCTTTTTGCTGTAATTAGAAGATCACAAGGAACCCTGACTCAGGTCAATGTTCAAGTCCATGCTGAAAGTTGGAGGTAGGTTGGGAGCAAAAAGAGGTCCTATAAGCTTGACACCACAAGTCTTCCCCTGAAATCATGTATTGATCGTGTATTAATGTAGTACTGCATCTTTGTTCCACAAGGCTGGCTTCAGGAGAATCATGACAGATCTTCAGTGCACAGTAAGATACGTCAGCTCTGATCTGATCTTTGGGGTAGGCAAAAACCAGATCGTATCGCTTCTCTCAGGTGGAGCTATTACTTTGGACTTGGCGTTTTCACTTGCTGACTTGGTGCTGGTAATTTGAGTACAGGACAGCAACTTGCTGGTCATAACAGGCAGGATGTCAGTATATGAGGTCACAATGTGTTCTCTGCTTGCTAGCTGAACTTCTTCAGTCTGAAAGTAATATCAGGGTTACAGTTTCATTAGAGTGAATGTAGGTCTGGAGAAGGAATTGCTGGATTTGGAGTCGATTTAGTTGATTTTCCCGTTTCCCAAAATAACCATTTTTGATGGTTATTTAAGGTGTATTTGTTCTAGAAGTACCTGGACTGGAAGATGTTTTCAGATACTGCAATCATTTCCCTTATGACAAGGAGTTTGTTGCCCATCTCAGTTCTGCTTCCATGGCACGAGCTTAGGTGAGCAGAACATGCAGTTATTCTGTAGAGCCACTCCAGTTGCATAGCTGGAAGCTGCAAAAGTCCATAGAGGTAAGCTTTTTGCTATATTTGGACACATCAGCTCATGTTTGGCTGTCGTGATCTCTTCTGCTGGTCACGGCAAGGATGGACTAAACTTGGTGCTGTGCCGTGGATCTTGGGCATGTGTGACCACCACCTCTGAGAAGGCTTCAGGCAGCATTGTCCTGATTATCTGTTGAGGATGCATCTCCTGTGATGGAGGAGTGCCACCTTTGAACCTGTACTTAAATGACAGAATAGATGAGGAGGTGTGGTCTGGTTTGGTCTGGTCAGGTCTAGATGTCTCAGGACTGATGTATAAGCTTTTCTTTCCCACATCATTCAAGCGCCCCACACCCTATTACAGAGGGGTTGGGGCTCCAGAGACATTACATCTGAGTCAACTGACAAAATTGCTTACAAGTCCTTAAAGTTGCTGATTAAGTGCTGGAACAGATCTCATGCCTTTTGGTCTGTGAGGGCTTCCACAGAAGCATTTTCCTAAGCCAGCAGAGATGGTGACTCCAGAACAGATGAGCGCATGGTGCTTGCTGAAGGCTTTGGCAAGCATCTGGGTTGAGTTTGCAGGAGCTGGCAGCAATGACTCATTGCTGGAGAGAGACCTTAGAGGCAAGGGGTGGGGGTAGCTGAATGAAAGGCTGAGTTTTACAGAGCAGGCCTGGCTAAATGCTGGTCTCATCCTTCTCACTTGCAGCATGGTTGGGGTAAGGAGGAGCAGACCAGGTTTCCTTTCTGGACTACAGTCCACTGCTGCAGACCTTTCCAGCCTGAGTAATACTTCTGTATCACTTATCCTTGGCTCCACCAGGAGCCATAAAGGTAAGCCAAGCCACCCAAGAACCAGCTTTCCCAAGCAGCTGCCTGCCTGAGTCAGTGAGCTGCAGGCTTAGATACCCCAGGAGCAGGGCTCTGGCATGAGGCTGAACCAAGTGGCTTCCAGAGCTCTTAATGCTCTTAATTGCAGAGTGGCCCAGGCTCTTAATGGGGTGGTTGGAAGCAGGGGCTTGTGGTATTGCACCCCATCTATCCGCAGGTACCTCTAGGGACCTCATACCAGTTTTGGAGCAAGGATGGAAGTTTCTTAGTTAACCTTTCT